TCTCCTCCTCTCTCTTCCCCCTCCTCCTCTCCGCTTCACCCTCCTCCTTCCCCTTCCCCTTCCCCTCTGCCTTCCTCTCCTTCTCCTCCTCCCTCTCCTTCTCCTTCCTCTTTGTCATCCCCTCCTCCTCCTCCTTCTTCTTCTTCTTCTTCTTCTTCTTTCTCAACCTTTTTTTCTTCTTCCTCATTTGTCCCCTCTAGTTTGTCTTCTTCTTCTTCCCCACGCTGGCTACGACCGGCCCCTCCTTTGTCTTCGTTGTCCATATTATTGGAACGTCGGCAGGCTCGTTCATTCTTTCCTCCTCCTAGTCCCCCTTCCTCTCGACGTCGTGTTGATGCTAATTTGCAGGTTCTTTGTCTTACCGACAATCTGCTCTGCCCCTCCTTTGTCTTACGCGCCGACCCCATGGAATCAATGTGTTCTTTTTCAAAAAAAAAAAAGAAAAAAAAGAACTTCATGCTTCAGGCGGCAGTCCAGTCCTGGGGCGTGGTCCCACTAGCAAAGAGAATCGGATCGAATGCCTGAATCTGGACGAGGTTATGGAGATGTGCGGGAGATCGAGATTGAACTGCTCTTCTGCATCTCTGCATAAAACACGTCCTGATTCAGGAGTTCGATCGAGTCGATCCTACCCTTCTTTCTAGTGGGACCTTGGCCCTGGTAGCCGTCTACACGCGTCCTGGTAGCAGTTGACTGTGTTTTCTATTCGTGATATTATTACTAATATTTAATATATATTTGTAGTCCCTCCCCTCCCCCCTCCCCCCCCCGAGCCTTGGGAAAGGTGCACCCTAAAATTCGTTCTACACGGCCTTGTATCCCATATCTTCTATTCGTATACAAGGTACGGACCTTGTTTTCGGGTTAAGACGGTAGAATTATCCAAATTGGATCATGTTGTGGATGCAGGTGACATTTTTTTGGGATCCTGCTTCAATGGGCAAGGAGCAGGAGCGGGGAGGGATGGCAGCAAAGGCCGCGAAGGAGGCGGGAGTAACTCATTACCTCTGGTCCACCCTTCCCAATGTGGAAGAGCAAAGCGGCGGCAAGTGGCACGTACCACACTTCACCGACAAGGCAAAGGTGAGTTTTCATTTGTGCGATGCACTTTTTGTGGGCGAATTTTGCAGATTCGGCAATCCCTAATGGGCTGTAGGCCGGACGGGCCTTATCGCTGTTGGTACAGCCATGAAAATACAGACTCAAGTTCGAATCCAGATGCAGTCAGATTAACAAAATAACATTCTTCTGAATGACATAGGAGCGGAGAATTCAATGATAATGGGCTGTAGGTGAAAGACAAACAACAAAATCTTTCTGACTTAAGTGTTTTTGAGAGAGAGGAGGTCCAGGAGAACAAACGAGGGGCTGTGAACAACTGTTTCGTCGGAGTTTACCCGACTCGTCAAGATGCCGAACCATCGACAGCCTGCAGAATCCTCTAACTGATTACACTGTAAGCGATAATCCACCTTAACCGTGGTTATGGTTAGGCATCAATGACTGCCCGACAACTGATACCCTAAGGTGGGCACCACCAACCACTGCCCTCAAGGTACCTGCGATGAAAATAAAAGCAGACTATCATTCACCCACACCAGATGGAAAACTCTACAGACTGTGGGTTCACACCCCATCACAAGCCAGCAAAACACCCACGAAACAAAGAAAGCTCTATCACAGCCAAGAAATACACTCCAGACACGCCGCTGGCACTAGAGGCACAGCATGGCCACGTAGTGACGGCCCCGACCACATACGCTCAACGTGACCGGAGAAAACCATAGCAGGGTGCTATCGAAGTCGTGGTACATATCGTCAAACAGAACTGCCTGGTAAACCGTCGGCAGGGAGGGAGAAGAGGACGACAAACAAGGAGCTGTGACAAATATAGATAGATAGATAGATAGATAGATAGATAGATAGATAGATAGATAGATAGGACTACCTCAAAATATTTGCTTATTGAGAAAACTAGGACGCGGTCATGGTTTGAGTTTCTAAATGCATTTCAAACTGCCGTTTCGCAATCCAGTCCGGTCCGAAGTTGACAATGCAGTTGAAACTAGGCTTGCAGAAAAGTTGCACCGCCGACGTCATAAGTTTTTAACTGCAGTTACAAACTCCGTGGTGCGACTTTTCTGCAAAGTGGAGTTTAGATTGCATCGTAAACTTCGGACCGGACTGGACTGCGAAACGGCAGTTTGCAATGCATTTAGAAAACTGCTTTCGTGACTGCGCCCTAGTTACCCCTTGTTTATTTATTTCGATCACAGCTGCAGAGTTTGATGTGTGGGCCGCATTGTTGTTTGTAACCTCGTGCTCTGTGCTTGTTCACTCACATTCACATTCGTCATCATAATTCTGCATTCCAGGTCGAGCCCATTATTCGTGGACTGGGATTCAAGTATCACACCTTCATTTCTCCCAACTTTTACTACAGCAATTTCAAGGCCTTTGGGATGGCGAGGGAGCGAGAAGACGGCTCCGTTGCTTTCCTGATGCCTCACTATGACGCCAACACCGTTCATTCTGGCTATGACGTCGACGACATGGGTCTTCCGATTCCGAATGTTCTTGATCATCCAGAGGAGTATCATGACAAATACATTGTCTACGAGGGGTTCACCGCACCAATCAAGGAATGGCTGCACATCTTCACCAAGGTGACGGGCAAAAGCGCGGTGCTAGATCCAGTCCCGCCAAACGACTACGTAGAAGAACTCGTTCAGGTAATCAAGTGAATCTGACCTTATATTTGCTTGTGATGCTCTGCATCTAATAATAACCAGCATCTTTTTTTTAAGCTCCCCAACCCTAAACCCTAAACCCTAAACCCTGAACCTTCTTTGTGTTTCTCACACGCAATCTGCCATGGTTTCCACGCTGAGCTTCTTCCCCATTCATAAATGCCGCTCGGGCCCTCGGTATCTGAACTAGGATTCGAGTGTGATCCTGCTTACTAGGGAACTTGAACCTTGTCTGAAATATGGTACAAGTTCCTAAATATGTCCCTCTTTATTGCATGGATATTATTCCTTGCTGATAGAGGATATTATGAGGAAGTGGAAGTTGACGGAGGCGTTCAATCAGCGACAGGATATGGTGCACATTTGACCACTTAGTGACTTGATTTCCAGGACGGGAAGGAGGAGCCAATGCCATATAATAGTAGATTGCTGATCTACACAACTTAATGAATGGCATCAAATGAGTTCTCACATCATGATGACATTCAATTTGTGAGATGATAGGGAAGTCCTCGTCGGGAAACTTGAACCGTATAATTTCACAATCAATGCCGCCGTCAAACTATAAGCTGTTCAGAAATTGAATGTGCATTGTTCGGTTCGACGGGTTCGTCCATCAGTCGTTGAAGCCAGATCGCAAAGCTGCCTTCGCTTCGCAACTGCTTGCGAGAGATACGTCAGTGCTCTGCAGTTGTTGTCATCATGATGTGGCTGAACATATAACATACTAGAAAGGGCGGTACCGCCCTTCCTATGATGACGTTGTCATCATGATATGGCTGAACAAATAGCATACTACTAGAAAGAGCGTTACCCACTTGTTGCTGAATGACGGGGAAGACATGTCAAATTGTACATTTATATATTGATAAACAGATCAGGAGACTCAGTTCAAAATCAGGATCAGTACAATGAAGCTAGCGGTTAACCGCGTGTAAAATAGACAAAGGACAAGAAAAGAAACATTGCGACACACAAAAGTTACAAAACTATTTTTTTGGGGGGAGTTGATGGGAGAAGTCAATCATAATTGTAGATTACATTGGTGGATTCTTGGCAGTTCCAGTAGGGATAAAAGTTTTTTTTTTTTTTTTTTTTTTTTTTTTTTTTTTTTTTTTTTTTTTTTTTTTTTTTTTTATGAAAAAATATAAAAGATTCTGACATGTGTCCGTAAGCTTTTTTTTTTTTTTTTTTTTTTTTTTCGACAGATGTTTGGATGGTTCAAAGAATCTGGCTACTACGGGAAACTGGACAGGACTGCAAGTGTGGATGCGGCGTTCCCGAGGCCGCTGACGACATGGAAGGAATATCTGCTGCACAAGTGGGATTGATTTCCGTGCTGCTTCATCATCCCCTTCCTCTCCAGGCCAATTCATCAGTGTGGTCTACTCCAGCCAGGTTAGGGTATTGTACCAGTCCGAACCTCAGGTTCAGTTAGGGCATCGTGCCTGTCCATGAAGGAACAGTGTCGTAACAGCAATCAGTTTAGCGATTGATTGAAAAGGTTTGATCGATTAGCAATTTTGTATCGTATAATGTTTTGTAGATAATGAAATCGATGTGCTCATGCGTTGCAAGTCCAAGAGGAGGTCCAGAGATCCACAGAGGGCATCAGCTTCAAGCATGAGAGGAATATCATGACGATGATGATCACAATGAACGTGCTGGGAATGATGTGATCGTGATGACGATGATGACTATGATGGCGATGTTGAGTCGATGATGATGATGATGGTGGCGATGTCGACTGGATGATGATGACGATGGGAATGTCGACATGATCGTGATGATGACTATGGTGGCGATGTCGACTGATCATGATGATGATGATGACGACTATGGTGGCAATGTTGAGTCGATGATGATGATGATGATGATGACTATGATCGAGATGTTGAGTCGATGATGATGATGATGATGGTGATGATGTTGTTAGTCAAGGCGAAGCTTCATAAATGTATGTGTATATCATGTGTAAGAGGGACACGATGAGTCGATGACGATGATCATTGCGAATTGTAGTTAAAATAATTTGCTATTTTTTCCCTTTGATTTCTTTGTTAACGAGGCTGAGGGAACGATTACAACATCATGGTAGCTTGCCCCTGGCGCAGTGCGAAGAAAAAGGATAGTCGGGAAATTCGACGGGAAATGATGAAGGGAAATGATGAAGAGGAACGAACGGGGGGGGGTCGGAATTCTTAGGTGGTAGGCTATTAGCCACTGTTAGGTAGACTGTGTTTGGAATGGAAAGCTGAGATGGGAGTCAAGACATGTATAGTAGTGCCTTAAAGTTAAGTCAATGTGAATGATTTCTTTTCTCAGAAGCCAAGACGCTGTCGAGGGATCCTTTTTTTTTTTTGTAAGGTCTGCTGGTTTCTTCTGTTTTCTTTCTTTTTTGTAAGTTTTTCTTCTCTGCTCCACCTGCCATTGGATATGCGGATTTCATGCGGATGTTCAGATTTCAGGCCCTGAGAATCGACAATAGTTACGTCGGTTCAGTACAGTACTGATAATAATGCTAAGCCATGCAGTACATTGATAATATCTCAAGGTGTCAAAGCACCAGTACACCACCCATCGATACGCGGGCGTCAGCATGAAACCCGCACCACTTCGGAAGCCGCCGATTGTTTTTTAGACTTTTTTTCAACGGCGCCCTGGGACTCGCGGCGCCTCCGAGTTTTGGTTGTGGCAACGAAATCTGTCTGCAAGGCTGGGGCGGTGTACCAGCGGTTTAAGAAATAGAATGAGTGAAGATGAGAATCCAGTCAAATCAAAGCAGCTCTTGTGTGTGGGCTGTAGTCTCAGGTGATTGAAAAGAACAAGACATAACCACGGCCGCTTCATACTTTTCAGTTCCGGTTTGCAGTCGAAGGAGGTTTCTGCAAGGGGTTTTGCAGTTTTGTCATGGAGGTCTCCGCAGAGTTGTGTCAGTGGCCATGTCATCCAGCCTCTCCAGTGCCTTCTAATGCCTGGTCCTTCACTTGCCACTGAGAATTTTTCAGCCACTTGATCTGATAGATGTTCAATCTGATCGAACGGAAAAAAAGAGCAAGGCCGTCGAGTCGTCGACAACATCGTCACTGACACAACTCTGCCAAAACCTACGCAATAAAACTGCATGTAAAATTCCACTGAAGGAAGGCCCTGGCCCTCTCTAGTTGCTGCAAAAAAATCAGCCATTTCCTGCAGCAAGTGAAGAGGGTCAAGGCACCATTGAACACCCACACCCACCCACCCACATGCACGCACACTCGCCTGCCCACCCACCAACCCTCCCACCTGTTCCCATCACCTCCCCACCTTAGGCTGGGACCCCACTGCGGTGCGGATGGAAAAGCCGGTCGGCCGCAAAGAGAGGGCAAGAGTTTCTGGAAAGCTGGAAACTCATTTTTCCGGGATCACACCGCGGAGGCCGTTTCACGACAAAGTTGCGATATTTCTTTCCAAAATAGGAAAGGGCCGTAGGGGGTGGCCGAAAAGGGAAAGTTTTTATTGTCCGGGAGGTGCCCGCTGGACCGACGGAACGGGCGAGGGTACCAGGTTTGGGTGACGCAGTGCGACAAGTGCGAAACCTTGTGCGGCCAGATGTCGTCCTACAGGACGGCCGCATCGGGTCCCAGCCTTCCGAGAGTGAGGGACCCGCCCCTCGTCACCGGTGAAAGGTCCATGTGACCGTTGCGGGCAGACACACAGGTGGGTGGTTCCTGGCTGTTGGAACACTGTCAAGCCCGTCGTTCCGTCCTTGCATTGTGCCGCGGACATCGCCATCGTCATCTCCAAAGGTCGGAAGTGCGTAACCGCCATCTCTGTCCCTTGACAATTGACAGGCGTTTGGTCATTTTTGTTTCGGCTGGCATCGGTGTTGCGCGGCCTGTGTCATGGATGGAGTGGGGCCCGCCCGTTCCATTTTGGCCCCATTGCCACCGAAAGGCAGGGCCCCTACTCCAACCATGCGACACTTCCCTCAACGACTGCCCGGCCGCAGCAATGTCCGTTGGTGGCACGCATGGACATTACGCGGTCCAAAAATCGGACCAGACCTTGGAAAAGTGCGAGACAGCCCGCGAGGCCAGTCTCAGCTTTCGGCACATTTTTGCGGCAAACTTTCCTCCCGACGGCCTTTTCCAGGACACAGACGGAGTGAAAAAGTCCAAGTGCTACCTTCCACGCCAAAAAACGCGGCCTGTGGGGTCCCGGAAGACGGTCCTTGGAAAGAATTTGCCGCTTTCCAATGCATTATGCGCAGGCTGTGGGGTCCCGGAAACACTTCCGCGGCAAAGTTTTTCCTTTCCGCATTCCTGTGGGGTCCCAGCCTTAGATGTTATTTCTGAGGGCGTGGCCCGCACCGCCCGCACCGCGGGCGCTTAGCTAGTGTCTATTTATGCATGTCAACCTTAACTTTTTTTTTTTTTAGCTAATCTTCTCTGTATCGTTCCAATTTTAACGGATGTCCCGAAGGATGATATTAACAATTCTAAAGCAATCCTTCTTTTTCTTCTTTTTTTTTTTTTTAAGAGTTTGATATTATCACCGGTATTGAAGCCGGCCTTAGAGCCTCGTTCCATGCCACTTGAGTTCAAGAGCGACGCGAAAAATCGTCGTTCCACACCGCCCTAGAGAAATGCTTTTTTGTTTTCACATTTTGCGTCTCAAGTGGCCGCTCTTGAAACTCAAGTGCGGCCCAGGCAAAATCGCACTTGAGTTCAAGTCACCTCCCGGAGGTGCCTTGAGTTCAAGAGCTACCCTCGGGTTTCAGCCGTGGGGGCAGGGTTTTTTTTTTTTTTTTTTTTTTTTTTTTTTTTATGCCGCGCGTTCGTAGTTCACGGCCTGTCCTTTTTGCAGTCCAGCGAGCAACGGCTACCGGTNAGAGAGAGAGAGAGAGAGAGAGAGAGAGAGAGAGAGATTGGTTGTAATTCCTATCTATCAGTCAAATGCGTCCTGGGCAGACTGTCAAGGTGAACCTCCTGACGAGTAGGTGAAATTCGGACAAATCGGTCTGGCAAAATCATGCTTTTTTTGTGGAGTTGTGTATAGCGAATATGACAAAACACACACACACACACACACACACATGCCCAAGTGTGCTGAACCACTTGGCGCAGACGGCTGTGTGGGCACTTGGCGCTGAACCACACAAACGTGCCCAACCTAGCATTTTTCTATTATATTGCCTATCTATACTTTTCGTTGTGGATGGCTTGTGATGATTTGTGAAAGGAATAAGAGAGAATCTGGGGTCTTTTAAAACAACAACACACACACACACACACACATGCACACACGCGCGCGCGCGTGCGCCTAGTGATGAAAAAAAAGGAAAAACCTGTGGATTATTTTGTTTTAAAAAAAGAACGCGAGTGTGAATGTGATGATGCTAATCATCTTCGCACAGTGGTCATGCTAATTCATCTCTGCATCGTTCAGATTTTCACGAATCTCCCAAAGGACAGAATAGGGAGTGTCACATTTGCCCAACACGAGGGTTGTGATTCACGAGGGGCGAATGTTATACTTTGTCTTTCATCCTCCTGGAGATGCGTTAATATTGGATCGATACAGAGAACATCATCGTGGCACCTGCACAAGAATGACAGTCATAACTCGAAAATGGACCAATATTGTATTGAAAAAAAAAAAAAAAGCTCATGGAAGATTAGCACGGTGCCCCCTCAAGGATGACACTCATTACCCGAGAAATAGTTCATTTTCCACCCTGGAAAATTTACATCCACTGAAATTGAAACGATGCAGGCATGGCCCCTGCTCAAGGATGACAGTCATAAATAGCGAAATGGTCGAAAAAAAAAAGACATCCCTAAACTTGGGATTGAATCTACCGCGGCAGCAGGATCGAACCTTCGGCAGCTTTTCTTTATATTCTTTGTTTTTAATTTTTTTTAATCGAATTTAGTTTTTGATTTTTTAAAAATCCTAAACAAAGTCGGATTCCAAAAAAAAAAATATGGGGTTGTAGGGCTTAAAATTCCCTACAACCCCATATTTGTTTATTCTTTTTAACCTATTATTTAATTCAGGAAAATTCTGGTAAAATCGGGTCCGCGACGCGGATCCATCTGCGTCCGCCATCCGAGATCCGACCCGCGGATGTGTCCGCAGGTGTTTCATAGTCAAGAGCTGCAAGTTGCTACTTCCCTCAAGAGGGAGACTCGACTGGAGGCTGCCATATCTGCATCAAGAGCGCTGCAAGGATCCGGCGTTGTATATTGGTGTAGGTAGGCCCTCTTAGTCATGCTAGGACACTTTGTGTAGCGGTAGCTAGGGGTCGTGAGGACCTATGAGACAAGTCCGGTGTGACTGGGTTGCCCACAGGTGGGGAGGCAGAGGTGCAGGATCTGATCTACCACTGCAGAGACCTGTGGTTTATCGGCATGATCTTCGCAAATCTGGATCAGGCGAAAGATTGTGGCAGTTTCGGTTCGAGTGGCGAGTCCCGTGCCCATCTGTCCGCAATTGTGTTGTTGATTAGCTGGTCCTGTCGCGATGCTCTGTATCCCCCTTTGACTCTATGCTCCCAAATTTGCATAGGTCAAGTGCGCCAGGCCACTCCCAATCAGTCGGGTCAAACGGGAGCTTGGCCACGGGCGTGGCTGGCTGAAATGCATGGTGGCCGTTTAGTGAATCTCCTACCACCCTCACCTGCATCAGCC